ATATGTTTGGCCGTGCCTTTTGTTTAGCCCGTCTGCCTACTTTCCTATTTTCTTTTTCTTGAATTTTTTGTCGTAGGTCCTTGGCGCCATTTTATTTTGAAGTTGCGTTGAGTTGTAGGCGCCGAGTTTCGACTGTTGTAAATTTTCTAAACTTCTGGGCACCATCTGCGAGTAATCCTTCCTCCTTCGGCTATGTTGCCCGATAACTTGAAGAACTCGAACCCTCAGCTTTAATAGCTTATTAGTGTCAGGGCTGTTGGCCGAGACATAAGGAGATGTGCCCACGGCCGGTTTTTTTGAAGCGCGATGTGCCCAAAAAGCTTTAGGAAGTAAATGTCGCCAAACTCCAGGTTTCCTTGATGAACATGGCTTAGCGTAGACTGGTGTCCCCGGCCATCGCTGAATGAAGCCGTCCTCGGTCATGTACCGGGTACCTTTGACCTTAAACCCTCGAGGGGGCCTCTCCTGTTGGTCATCATTTCGCGGCCTTACACGCTGGGTTGTTTGAGCAAAGGGCTCGGCCGCTGCGACCGAGCCGGGTGGTATTAGAGGAAAACCGCAGACTTGACCGAGGTTCGTTTGGCCCGCTGGCCATCGAGGTATGGCCACCTGGTTCCGTTAGATTGCATCCTCATGGGAACCTAGGTGTGTCTGTGTTGTCGTCGGAATGGCCGGATCGTGTATTTGTAATGGCAGTGCAGCAGTCGAGCATTTCTGATCGCATTGTTGTGGTGATGCTTCGGTCACGTTGCTCTGGCCGGACTGTGCCTGGTCGGCCAAAGTCTGGGTCGGGCCGAGACGTTGGAACGTAGACGATGCAGGGCTACCCCGCCCTAATGCTTTGGCTAAAGCGTGGAGCGGGCTGTGCGCTGTCTCTGCCGAGTAGGTTGGCCCAGAATTCGCCCATGTGGGCTGGGACTGCCCCCAGCTGTCTGTCGGCGGCAAAGAATGCTGGCCGTAGCTTGATGCTTGGGTGTGGGCAGAGACACCGAGGCTGCTGCTTTCGCCGTAAGGCTCGATTCTCTCGCGCTCTTGGCTCCTCGATCCGGCTTTGGGAGGGG